AGCCTTCCCCCGTAAATTTTTTGGGACACTTTTTTGGAACAACAATGCCCGAGTCTCGATTTAATAGATGTCCATTTTTCCTCTCTCGCGACCCCATTCTCGTTGTGGTGTTTTGACACAAGAGGACTCATGAATTATACCTTCTTTTTGACAAAAAGAATTAAGGACATGATTGAAGTAATCTTTGGCATTATCCGACCTAAGCCTCTTAATATTAACACCAAACCGATTTTTTATCATGGAGTGGAAGTTTAGGAAGACAGAACCGACTTCCGATTTTTGTTTAAGTAGGAAAACCCAAGTGACCCTTGTACAGCTCATCTATAACGGTGACAAACCATCGAGTACCGTACACATTTGGAATATTAGAAGGTCCCCATACATCAAGCATGAACAAGATAAAAAGGGAAATTGCTAATTCTATTACTTATTGGAAAAGATATACGTTTGTGCTTAGCAAGTTCACACACCTCACAATGAAGACTCTCAACATCTAACTTGGTAAACAGAGAGGGAAATATAATTTTGATTACTCCAAAAGAGGGATGTCCCAACCGACAATGATAAAACATGATTTTTTCTCTCGTTGGTCATCAAGGATTCGAGATATGAAGGAGTGAGAGATTCTATTCTTGTCAGGCAGTACTTGGATCTTCGAGATAATAAAGGTCATTCCATTCTCTAGCATGTCCAATCATCCTCCCCGAATCCTTATCCCGAAATACACAATGATCGTTGGAAAAAACAACTTTACATGACAAATCCTTTATAAGTTTTTGTATAGACACTAGGTTCGTGGACAACTTTGGAACATGAAGAACGTCTTTTAAGGTTATTAAAGGATTGATTTGGATATTTCCTTGACCAACTGCAGTTATAAGGGTTCCATCTCGTCGTGGCAATTTTCTTGTTCTGGGACATGGGGAATATGTGGAGAAGTGTTTGGCTAATGGTGTCATGTGATTTCGTGGCTCCGGAGTCCAATATCCAATAATGGTTAAAAGGCGTATCTCGAGACATTTAATCCAAAAGAAGGTGGAAACTTACCCGAGTATGCCAAAGAACACATACCTGTAGGTTTTTCCAGCTTACTAAGAATGGTTTTCACCCTTTCTATCTCCTCTTCCCTTGACATTATAGCAAAAAGGTGTGATGCAACAACAATGCAGGCTGTCGTCTTAGGATTATGAAAAATGCAGCAGCAATGTAGGCTGCCGTCTTAGGGTTAGGAAAAATGCAGTAGCAATGCAGGCTGTCGTCTTAGGATTATGAAAAATGCAGCAGCAATGTAGGCTGCCGTCTTAGGGTTAAGAAAAATGCAGCAGCAATGCAGCTCTGATACCATGTTAAGGTTCCAACATAAAACCAATTGGCAATATGTGAAGTAACCTAACATGTATTTAAACCATACCAAATGACATGAGGTAGGCGATGTGGGACTTTCAACACGCCCCCTGCAACAAAGCTTGTCGGACCAGGCAAAGGGTACTTTTGACCCAACTAAAGGGCAACTTTTTGGCCCATGACAATAACCGGAAAGATGTTAGGCTTTGGCTCTGATACCATCTGGAAAAATAGATTAACTGAAATATGATTTTTTATTATATCAATACAAAGAGATGATATAAGATATATACAAGAGACCTAAACTATTTTAAGAAATATAATAACTCTAGTTTATGCTAGGATCCCTTGATTTATGAGATTGTTCCTAATTATTCAAATCTGTACAGATTACAAGGAAATATACAAATTTCCTTATTTATTCTTTCCTAAAATACTATTTGATTTCTCACACTATGTATTCACACTCGGGGGTGGTGCGATTACATGGAAATCAGCTAGGCAAACAATTATTGCAAGATCAACAATGGAATCTGAATTTGTTGCTCTCGAAATGGCTGGTAGTGAAGTTGAGTGGTTGAAAAACTTCTTAGTAAACATTCCATTAGGAATGAAATCGATCTCGTCTATATCAATACACTATGATTGTCAATCGACAATAGCTACAGCTAAAAATAAGAACTACAATAGAAAAAACAGACATATACAATTGAGACATAATTTAGTAAAACAGCTGCTAAAGAATGGAACAATTTCCATTGACTATGTGAAGTCAGAATGGAATCTAGCAGATCCTCTGACAAAACCCTTAGCGAGAAATATGATTTTAGAAATATCGAGGGGAATGAGACTTAAGCAACTTGCAGATAAACATGTGATGGTAACCCAACCTTTGTGATTGGAGATCCCATCAATAAGGTTCATATGGGTAAAAACAAGTCACTTGTTAGTTCTGCTAGCACTAAAATTGATTAAAATCAATTATGTTCATTCCTATGGTGTATATGTGAAAGTTCTAGATACTGCATCATTGAGAGGTTAAACTTTGTAATTAAAATTCTATGTGGTATACGAATTTTAGTCTAAACAAAGTTTTTAACGATTTCATGTCCCTTAAGGGTGGTGTACGATTTGCAACATACACTTGATGAAGTCACCTATATGAGTATCAAGTAGGGCCGCTTGTATGAGATCTTTGCAAGATTTCTAGAGCATTCATAAATATCGGGCACACGCATGACCTAATAAGCGCAACACAGTGATAACAGCAAGAATTGTGTGGGTGTATTGTGATTATTAAAACCGCTAATACATATTAAGTGTTTTGGTTCATATAGTTTGCTACACCAATTACATTGTGTGTTAAATTTTTTAGTCTAAGACTGGTTCATATAGCAGCTCTAATGCATTACATCTTATATGAGACCATGATTTTCTTCTTTTATTATTTTATCTCCTCTTTTGTTTTGCAATATGTGGGGGATTGTTGTAAATTAAGGGGTATTGCAAAACAGAGAACGTGTTCTCACACGTTGCAAAAAACCGTTTTAGATAATGTGTTCTCACACATTGCAGAAAACTGTTTCAGAGAACGTGTTCTCACACGTTGCAGAAGACTGTTTCGGAGAACGTTGCAAAAGATTGTTTCAGAGAATGTTACAGACCCACTACCAAGTCTTCCCATAACTACTACATACTTTTTCCTATAAATAGAGACTATTTTACACTCTTCAAAACATCTCTCTTGTCTTCTCTTTTCTGATCTTCTTTCTATTATCTTGGATTAATTTACTCTTTTAAGAGTTTTTGCTAGTTTCCGAGATCCTCGGATATTTCAAAAAGTTCTTATTGTATCCTAGGTAACTTCCCTATACCACATATAAGTCCTCAAATCAGTTTTTACAAAGAGCCAGGAGGGAAGCCTGAACCTCACAACATATTTCCGGTGAGGCCGAAAATGAAACAGTTCAGGGCAAATGGGTTAGGTAAACCAACTATGCGATTGGCCAGACGTTCAAACTCCGTGAGATGTTGTTGGACTGTCCCCTTCTGTGTGAGCTTGAATGGAGCACCAGAAAGTTCATCATAAAGTGATGGAGCGAAATGTGTTTCCAAGGCACGGAGGAACCCGAACCAAGTTTGGATCTGGTTATTCCGATACATCCACTGGTACCAACTGAGATTTGGTCCATCCATGTAGAAAGAGGCTACCTGAAGGCGTTCCGTTCTGGTGTATTGTGGTAATAAAAAATTGGGAAATTTTGAAGATCCAACCAAGGGCGTCATCCTCATCAAACCGGAGAACTTCGAGTTTCATATGTGGGTGATGGAAACCGTCGAGGAAGTTGTGGTTTGAAGGGGAAACGTGCGGTGGTGAAGGTGGTCAAACCATCAAAAGGGAAAGTTGTTCCAGGATAAAATCAACTTTGAGGGTCAAATCATCCAAGCGTTCAGCATTGGTACGGCGGTTGGCCATGAAGGAAAGGTCTCTCAATAAAAGTACTAAATTGTTATGTGTTTTTTTTCTTAATTATGACTAAGGGAACCTTGAGAATTGATAGGAGAGATGAAACAAATATTTTCAACCATTTTTTCATTCCTTCGAAAGGCTATGCACATGCAAATCTAAATTAGTTATAATTGGAGGGTCCTCCTAATTTGTAGACAAAAAGAATCTACAAAAAAAAATTAACAATCTTAATAACTAAATTATTCTATGCAAAAAAATAGTGTGACTTGACATTTCTAGAAACATGCTAATATAATGAGCTCTATAGGATGTAACCCTTCAGATAGGTGGTGTGGTAGTAATCCTTTTGGTATTAGTTAAATTAATCAAATGGGCTGTGATATGATTGCTAACACTCAACTTCGCAAATTTAGTCGCTAAAAATAATAATTACAACTGTCTCCGGTAGATATAAGTTCTATCTTGGTCAAGCATTAGTAGAGCAGATGTCACTCCTCCCTTATATAACTATTTCAATTTCAGAATAAAAACAATGTTCAGTAAAAGTATATTGTGTGGCTAGTTCAGTCGTTGATAGCGATTAACATAATTCAGTCGCTATTTCTATTGCTCATATAATCAAACTATTTCAATCACGATCACTAAATACCGTTTTTTTTTTATAGTACCCGAAATCATTGGATTGAGATTCACACAATTCTGGTGGTTGGTTGAACATGTATTTACTACACACTCAACTTAGTATATGGTATTCTTGATCATAATGTTCTAATATTTATATTCATTCAAGCAAACCAGTTATCCATGGATTTAGTGAAGCTGGTAATGTGCTTACCTTGTGCATCATCCCAATTTTTGACTTATTAATAAGTATTTGTGGTTTGATAAAAGTTGTGCTTAATGATTGTGCTAAACATGTAACACTATTGCATTATATATAGTGAAAGTGCCAACAGCCAACTAGCTCATATTTCATGATGAATCAAAAGCACAGAAAAAGTTCCTTGCATGGAATTCAAAATGTCGTTGACACAAATCAAATAATTATTAACTAAATACATATTATTCCTCTCATGTACTAAGTATAAAACGAACTAAAGGAATATTGAAGAGAGGGTTAAATCTATTATGCAAAAAAATACATGAGGCATCACGATCAAGCATATTTGTAGTGAAGGAACAGTAATTAAGCCTTCACTTGAATAACTACTTTTCCAACATTAGAACCAGTAAATAAGGAGTTCAAGCTATCCAGAAAGGTCTCAATTCCAATGTTTATTTTAACCTTGGACTTAACTCTTCCTTCTTTTATGTGTCCCCCCATTTCTTTTGCAAACTCTCCGAAACGATTGAAATTCAGCAAATAGCCTTCCATCCTTACTTCCTTGCCCACCATATTCAAAAGATTCCTCACACCATATCTTTCTGTCCAAACCTGCACCACCAGTTGCTTATTTTTAAAATCAATATATATGTGTATAGAAGTTAAATTCTTAGAGTCCAATATATACAATAACATTTAACATGCAATTCACCAAGAAGATCTAGCTTCTTATAAGACTAACAGTGTGTGTTTTGGATAATATATTTGTGTATCAAAATTATATTTGTTTTGGACTAATATTTTGTTAGCTTAGTCCGACACAATATGGTGGGGGTTAATCAATTCCAATGGTCTACAAAATTATTTTCAAAAAATTTACAATAAATATGATTAAATTTTACTACTGTGAATCATAGATGTTCTCTAACTATTTAGACTACATTAATAAAATATATCTGTATATTTAAAAATTAAGGGAGATATATAGTATTCTTATTTAAAACGATCTTGTTTTTGTTTTATGTGGTTTTTCAGTCTGCTAAATAGCAGACGTGTAATGTTCTAATGCAGATAGGTGATTTGAATTCTTTCATGGCATTTAATTTGATTAGCTATTCTCATGATTAAGTAAAACAAGAAATTTTTGTCCAATATTTTCATCCTATGAATTATCCATGTGATTAAGATAAAATTGAAGCATAAGATACTGAACAGTAGCGTACTCTACCAAGACCTAGTTCACCTGGTTATATTGAGATATCATCCCACAAAGTGGTATCCTGGCATACTTGTTCACGTGATTCAGTACAGACTCAAGAATTTTCCCGCCAACGTTGTCAAGGTAGACATCAATACCATCAGGAAATAACCTTCAATTTTGCAAGTTGTGAACTGTCGTTATTTGCTAACTTAAAACAATTGAAAAACATTCATCTCAGATAACAATGTCCTAATTGGTGCAAATTGGTGCAAATTGGTGTATGGTTTGCTTCATTGTGGTGTATGTGGAGAACAAGGAAAGCTTCTATTGTTAGCATTATGTGCAGAATTAGTGAATATAAGTTTGCTGCAATAATTCTTGTAAGTAGAGAGAGGCTTTGGTGTGCATGCATGATGAAGTGCTTTGGATTTTTAGCCGGGCAATAACAGTATAAACACGCAAGAATCTAAAACAAAACAGGACATAACATGAAAAGAAAGCATCTATGAACTAATGTGGCAGACAAAGTATATGTAAGGGTGGCAGTGAGTAAATCAGGGGTGTGTGGAGAGGCTTTGGGCTGCTGTTATAGGCAACATTATATGCTTATTATGCAAAGCATGACGCTGCATAATTCTTCTTGTTATATTTGCGTGATAAGTAGGGCACACCTTATATTTTCTTCCTGTTTCAATAAAATTTGGCTTAATAAAAAGAAAATTGGTGCAAATTGGTGGAAATTACTTGCTTAGAACGTCATCCAGGTCTGTTTCCTTATTGTAGTTGAATCCATCATCATACCCAAACTCCTCTTTAATTAACCTCAGCTGAGAAACCATTCATCATATTGCAACAACACCAGTAAGTTTAGCCAAGGAAGATAAGAAAGATATAAGTTGACACCAATAAATTTTATCACGGATATAAATTAACGCTTTTAGAAGGCTTACTTTTTCATCAGATCCTGTGCTTCCGATAACCCTACAACCTCTGATCTTAGCCAATTGACCGGCGATCATTCCCACCCCACCAGAAGCCGCAGATATAAACACATTTGAGCCAGGTTTGGGGTCTGCCACCACCTCTATCCCCAACCATGCTGCAAACCCAGGTACTCCTGCAATGCAACTTAATATATTTATATATATACACCACAACACAACATAGATAAATGTAGGCACACATTGTGACATATTTTATGTGTATAACTTGGATAATTCCCAAACCCAAAACAAAATGGTATTGAAAATGCTGAAAGAGACCAACCTAGAGAGCTTAGATAATCCGGCAATGAAATCCCACTTGCAGCATCAATTTTTTCGAGGATCTCACTAGAGGGCATGATGCAATACTCAGCAACAGGAAAATTTGCACTCAAAACAAGATCCCCATCTTTATATTCACTGTCGTTTGATAGTTTAACTCTTCCAATCCCAAATATCGTGATTACCTGAAACATTCTCACTTAGAGATGAAAAAAAGTATAGCTTCACATTCTCTAAATAATACAATCTTTTTAATAAACTTCTCATCAGTAACGAGCACATCTGATATTTAGTAAATGTCATATGAATTGATTTAACAAGAGAGATAATTATATGTTGAAGATATATGTAAAAATGTTTTTCAGTATTCTCCATTTAACCACACAGATTTACATATTATGATGATTACATGCATGTATTGTATATGTACCTGATCGAGCTGAAACTGTGGAAAATAAAGGCCATCTAAGTTGCCAGTGAATCTGGAACGTAGATATGGATCTATAGAGAGAATCAACGTTTCAATGGCAAGATGGGCATGAGGGATTGATTCAGGCTGTAGTGACAGACGCACAGTGCGGAGTTTGAGATGATCGGTGGTCGGAACACCGTTCGGAGCATAAGATAGCAGGTACCATTCTTTGCTTTCCACCACCCACGTTTCCTCTTCACCCTTGCTCTTCACCTCTTCTTCCATTCTTCTAAATTTCTCTTATCACTGTTTTCCCGTTCTGCATATCAACACATGCTCCTTTTATAATGAAATTTAATAAATTTCTCACGAAAGCTCATACAACACAATACAAGATTAGTCCCTCTCCCGATGGGCATGAATAAAATGTTCAAAATTCAATGCACTTCCAATCCAGGCCGATCCAAAATTTTATTTTTATTTAATTAGATTAAATTGATTTGATTTTTTTCACGTTTAAATTAAATTTATAAACATTTTATAATTTAATTTAAATAAAATTTATCCAATCTAATTTGCCCCCAACTAGACGATTCAACTTAACTGATTCAATTTTGTCTAATTCTACCTAATATGACTGAACTTCACCCAATTTAAATGTTAAAAAAAAATATATATATATATATATATATATATATATATATATATATATATATATAAAAGATAGATGATTAAGTCATAATAAAAATAAGAAGAATAATAATAACAATAGAAAAATATTTAAATAAAAATAAAATCATTTGTAATTAACATAATAATCTTAATTATTTGTAGATATTTTATTATGATATTTTTAAATAATAGATTATATTTATTTAATATCGATTATAATCAAATAATTAAGTAGAATAATTATACATTATTACCATAATATGTCTTAATATAGAAAATATTTTCATAAATTTTAGAATCTCAACCGTACAATATCTAATACAAGTTTTATTCAAGTTAAATTTGAGATGGATCAATCGATCTAAATTTGACTTTACTTGTTCTAATCACTACAATTTTTTGTGTATTACCGACGGATATTTACCGATGGATTTGTAATCGTCGAAAAATAATTATTACAAACGGAAATTACCGACGAATATAAAATATTTGTAGAATTTGATTTTACCGACGGATATATCCGTCGGTAAATGGTAAATTCATCTGTAAATTACGGACGGATATTTCCGATCGATAAATTAACAATTAGTAAATATTCACCTAATTAAAAAATTTAATATTTTTTATTTAATAATTTAATTTAATCATAATTAGATTAATTTATAATAATTTCTTAAATGAAATAATTTTAAAAAATAAATATTTAATTATATATAAAAATATATAAAAATATTTAATTATATATAAATATATAAAAATATAAATATATAAAAATATAAATATATAAATATGTAAATATGTAAATATATAAATATGTAAATATATAAATATATAAATATATAAATATATAAATATATAAATATATAAATATATAAATATATAAATATATAAATATATAAATATATAAATATATAAATATATAAATATATAAATATATAAATATATAAATATATAAATATATAAATATATAAATATATAAATATATAAATATATAAATATATAAATATATAAATATATAAATATATAAATATATAAATATATAAATATATAAATATATAAATATATAAATATATAAATATATAAATATATAAATATATAAATATATAAATATATAAATATATCAAAATATAAATATAGGGGAAAATAACAATTTTTTTAATCTAATGATAGTTAAAGACCCTAAAAATGTAATAGGGGAAAATAATTAATAATAAATAATATAAATATAAATGGAAGGGTATTTCTATAAAATAAATAAGTTATATAAGTAGAATATTTAATAAATAATAAAAATATTACTGACGGATTTCTATTTGTCGGTAATTTCATAAAAAATTTAGCGACGGATATATCCGTTCGGTAATATTTACCGACTATCAAATTTTCAACGGATTTTTGGTATGTCGAAAATCCGTCGATAAATGAAAATTACCGACGAATTTTTGTTATTACCGACGGATTTTAACCGTCGATAATATTAAAATTTCTTGTAGTAAATTTAACTTATTCAATCTAACATAATCTTATCAAAAATATGATTTTATACTATCTAACCTAATTTAGTTAAACTTAAACTAATATGATTAAGTCTTATCAAATTCCATCTAATTTAAGTTAGCATGATGATTTAATATGGATCGATGAATTTAACTTAGTTTATATTTCAAATAAATATGATAAAATGAATTAAAAAATGTGGAGGGGATTGATAATTTTAGCTTACCAGTCCACTTTTATATATTAAAATAAAAATAAAAAATTATAATTAAAATATTATATTTTTTATATAATTTAAATTATAAAAAATAATTAATTAAATTTAAATTATTAATCATAATTAATTATTTTAACACATAATATTAATTTTTTCAATTTATATAAAAAAGATTAATTAATAAAGTTAAAATTAAAAATTATTTATATAATTAAAGATATATTTTTAAAAATACATATAAATTTTTTTTATATAAACAAAATTATTAGTATTATTTAAGAAAGGGTGAGTTGAGATCTATAATATGCTATATGAATTCACCCACCTCGTTTCTAACAAATTAAAAGCGAAATGCGCCAAAATGTGACGATGTAACATGTTTTTGTCATCCGCTAATGTTTTCTCAGACGAGCAGTGTGCGCAGAAGAGTTGGAATTTAACGATTTTCCGAAATTTTGTAAAAGTTGAAACTGATCAAATCGTTTTCCAAAATTTGTTCTGGTGCGTTCTCCAACTTTGATTTCGTCAAACCAAAATGGTCAATTATAATCAGTAATATTATGTAAATCTTACTAAACCGTTATTTGTAGTATGATTTACTTAAATAATTTATAATTTTTTAAATTACCTATTTCAATAATTTAAAAAAGTTATACCTATTTAAATTTTTTTCTCTGATAATGAAATTATCATCAAATAAAAGCAAATAAGATGTTTTTTCCAAAGTTATAATTTTTTAAATTACCTATTTCAATAATTTAAAAAAGTTATACCTATTTAAATTTTTTTCTCTGATAATGAAATTATCATCAAATAAAAACAAATAAGATGTTTTTTCCAAAGTTATACTGAAATACCAACAATAAAAATAATGTAAGATTATTATGAGATCCACCACTATATATGCTCCAATGATACATTTTTCGGCATCCAATTACAAGACCTGCAAGTTTGTTTCATTCTAGGTTGTCAATGAGTGTGTCCAATTTCTTCCATGACTATTTTGTAAAATATTATGTAGTTTTCCTACTTTCTTAATTCATTACGAAAATATTATTCTACCTATCTTTAGATTATTGATTTTCACAATATAATATACATCAATAACCATAGTAAGAAGACTAACATTCATCCATAAAAACAGTGGCAGATCTTATTGGGAGGTGAGGGGGGTCGTGGCCTCACCAAAGTTTTATAACTCCCATGTAATTTATGATTTTGGTTCCCCCAAACATAAAGAACATTTAATATATTTACTTGTATATTTACAATTTTATCCTCTCAGTCCCTCCTCAGTTTTGTAACTCTCTTATAATTTATGATTTTGTTTCCCTTAAACTTAATGATCATTTAATATATTTAAGTATATATCTACAATTTTATCTTTTCAACCTTTCATATTCTTTCTTCCTTTTATATTTATTTATTATTTATTAATAATATATTATTTTGCCCCTCAAGATCAATGGTCAAGATCCGCCATCGCATGAGAATCTATTATTTAATATTTTCGTTCCCCAATCTCCTTTTCTCAATCTATCTCTTTATATTTCTTTCTCTTCTTACACTTTCTTGATGGTTTACTGTGAAAAAGCCTTATGATCAGAGACAGAATCCTAATCCCTTTTATTAACCATGGTCCATCAAGTTGGTTACCGTAAGTTAATATTTTATTTTATCTTTATTTTATTCTAACTTCACATAATAACCAATAAGTCATCATATTTTATTAAATCACATTTGGATCCATCATTATATTTCATATGAGTCACATAATGGAATGAATTAATTAAATTAATTCTAACATCCTCCCACTTGACTCATGTGATATCATATGATTCTATGATTTAATACTTAAGTCATAATGCGTATTAAAGGACCGTACTTAAATTAGTTCTATCATTATTTATAATTAAATATACATCTATAACAAGAGTCATGGTGGTTACATGTCATTTAATCGACAGACTCCCTTCCATGTACCATTATATTATCTCTTTCTCCTTAATATGACTTTATAATAAGAAGTCCATAATGGGTTCAAACATAATATTATTTTAATAATAATAACATAATTTGTTTTCTTCATCATAATTTGCATGCATCTAAATAAAGAAGAAAACACAAATTTCGAAACTTATACATTAAAGATCTTAGAGTGTCACATAAACATTAATAATAATATTAACATACAACATTCACTACTAGTCAACATAATGTCCATATTTACTATATGGCCAACAAATAACTTGGCGGGTAATCCCTTTGTTAAAGGATCAGCAATCATAACATCAGTGCTAATATGTTCTATTGACACTCTTTGTTTCTGAACTTCTTCTTCAACGGCAAAGTATTTCAATTTCATTTGTTTAGCATATTTGGAATACTTGTCATTCTTAGAAAAGAAGACTGCTGCGGAATTGTCATAATAAATTTTCAGCGGCTTGACAATGTTGTCGACTACTCCAAGTCCTAAAATAAAATTCTGCAACCAATTAGCTTGAATTGTGGCCTTAAAGCATGTCACAATTTCAGCTTCCATGGTGGATGCAGCAATGACAGATTGTTTCGCACTTTTCCATGAAATCACTCCTCCGGCTAAAAGATACACATAACCAAATGTAGACTTTCGTGTATTCATACAACCAGCAAAATCTGAATCTGTATATCCAATCACCTCAAGGTGATCAACTTTCTTATAAGTAAGCATGTGATTCTTTGTTCCTTCTAAGTATCTTAAAACTTTCTTTGCAACCTTCCAATGATCCAGTCCAGGATTACTATGGTATCTACCCAGTATACCAACTGCAAAGCTAATATCTGGCATCGTACATGTTTGAGCATACATCAAACTCCCAACAACAGATGCATAAGGGATATTTTCCATCTGTTTCAGTTC